AACAATATGACCAAAGGTTCTTTGTGTATAAGGGGTTTATTATTGAATCTTAATAACAGTAAGCATTAAAATAGTCACAACAATATTGACAGTAGCTAAAATATATTTAGTGGGTTTTTTAAAACATTTTTTGTTGAGTTATAGTCATTTAACAATGTTGTGTCAATTCCAGTGTAGAGCACAATTTTTCAGTTATACATGAGCATACAAATATTCATTGTCACATTTTTTTTTCACTGTGAGCTACCACAAGATCTTGTATATATTTCCCAGTGTTATACAGTATAATTTTGTTTATATATTCTGTATAGGCCTGTCAGTATCTACAAATTTACAGTCTACCCCTCCCCACCCCTGCCCCTTTGGCAACCACAAGTTTGTATTCTATGTCTGTGAGTCTGTTTCTGTTTTGTATTTACTTTTTTTGTTTTTTATTTTTTTAGATTCCACATATGAGCAATCTCATATGGTATTTTTCTTTCTCTTTCTGGCTTACTTCACTTAGCATGACATTCTCCAGGGACATCCATTTTGCTGCAAATGGAGTTATGTTGTCATTTATATGGCTGAATAGTATTCCATTGTATAAATATACCACTTCTTCTTTATCTAGTTATCTGTTAATGGACACTAAGGTTGTTTCCATGTCTTGGCTGTTGTAAATAATGCTACTATGAACATTGGGGTGCAGGTGTCTTTTTGAAGTAGTGTTCCTTCTGGATATATGCCCAGGAGCGGGATTTCTGGATCATATGGTAAGTCTGTTCCCAGCCTTTTGAGGAATCTCCATTATTTAGTGTTTTTATGTCAGGTACAGTGCTGGTTGCTTCACAGGTATCACTGAATTTTACAACAGCTTTCTGAGTTAAGTGCTATTATTACTTCCCTTTGACAAATTAGAGATCTGAGTCTTAGAGGAATAAGTCACATGTGCATGATTACACAGCTGGTTATTAGTCTAACTCCATTTTCTTAATCACTACACCAAACTAGGAAAAGGTCTACAGGCATAATAAAAATAACCAACATGGGAAAGGGCTAAAGATTCAAATCTCCAACAGGTTTACATTCTATTGTGCCTGGACAGAAGATATAGCTTGCTTTTTATAAAAGATAATATTTTAAAAAATTTTAGATTTAAGATAGAGTTGTAACAAGGGCACAGAGAATTTCCATATATTCTTCCCCTAGCTTTTCCAATATTAAAACCTACATTATATTGATACATTTATCTAAGGTAAGAAATTAACATTGATATATTGATATTAGTGAAACTACAGACCTTATTTGGATTTTACCAGTGTTCCCCCAAATGCCCTCTTCTGTTCCAGCATCCAGTCCAGAGCATCGTGCTGCATTTAGTCATGTCCC